GGCGGCACCAGCTTCTGGGTTTTTTTGCAGGAATGTGGAGCAGACTGTGCTAAGTTCCAGAAGAGCGAATTGGAGCACAAATTCAACAAGAAGGCTTTAGAAAGGCCCTATACCTCTGAGCACTCCTGGGGAAAGACCTACGGGGAGCACAAGCGCCACTTGGAGTTTAGTCATGACCAGTATAGAGAGCTAAAGAAGTACGCAGAGGATATTGGCATTTTCTTCACAGCTTCTGGCATGGATGAGGTATGTAAGCCATCCTGGAGATACAGAGTCTGGCTGTTGTGTCTGCTGGTTGTTAATTCAGCACGGTAGTTCTTGCATAAAGAGAATACTGAATATGTGTGGACATTGAATTTTTAAATGAGGAAGTTGGAGTAATTGTAATTCTGGCAGCTCACTTGTGTTTCTATAAGGGTTGTGTAGATGGAGGAACATTTTGGAAGAGCTGCTATGTATGCTGAGGTATTCATATCAGTAAATCATATCAGAGGCAAGGCCCCAGCTGAACTCCAGAAACAATCAAGGCATTGAGAGTTTAGATCAGGACTGCAATCAAGCTGCTGTCTGGTGTCATCTGGTATCGTGTCTCCAAGCATTTCAGACTTCCCTCTGTATTTAAACAGGATTTCTTTCTTAACTTAATTCCTATTATTTCCCTCTTCTTTCCCCCCCCCCCCTTCTCACGTTTACCACACCCCATTGGTGTTTCTGTGCAGCAGAAGTACCAGTACTCTTTTTTCTTTTACTGATCTCTTGGAGAGGATCTGTGCCTTGCGCTGTTACTCCTCAAGCATTTACTGATTTTTGTCACTGGGTTCTTGAACCGTCAGTTACCAGCTTGTAAACTCCACGAAGCTCATCTGTTGCTGTTCCTCCATAAGAAGCACATACTTTAGCTCTTCCACGTTCCCCGCCTCAAAATGGGGAACTAAATTACTTACAGCATGAACAAATGCAACGTGCAACTGAAATGTGTAAACTGGAAAGACTGGGCAACAGGTAAACCTCAGTATAGATCAGCTATCGATTATAGATTGTTTTCTCTTTCTTTGTGGCCTAGAAGATAGGGGGAACCAAGCTGAAAGAGACCCTCCAGAATTAAGCTGGCCCCTCTTGCATAAGGCAAGCACAGCGATGCCCTTGTCTTTCTGCCTTATACAGGGTGGCGCAAGGATGGGATTTATTTAATGTTTTAAGGTGATCTGTTCAGTATCTTATACATCTTTTCATGAGAGAGAATTCCTGATGTATCAGCTTAATCTCCTTTCTCATCTTTTTTTTTTAATCTGCCTCATCTGGCATAGAAGTTCATCCTCTTCTTCTGTCTCCTTTCTGTGTATTTGAACACCATTATCACATCTCTTTTCTGTTTTGTATTCTACAGACTAAGAAGTTTCAATTCCTTCACCCTTTTTAGGCTGTCATTTTTAGTAATCTGGCCATTTGCACTGCTGCTGTCAGCTTGTCCTGTTGATCAAAATCGTTGAGTTGCTGTGCCCCACCTGAGATGGTACAAGCGCCAAATACCACCAAAAATTACTTGAGATGATTAACAGACAAAAAGGTGTTTTGCATGTATTGTAATAGCCCAGTGCTGTGGACTCAGAAATGGTTCTGTGAAAAGAGGGTGTCATGACGTTTATTTTATTGTTATCACCTTGTCTAGGAGACCTGCTGAAGAAAACCTACTCTTTTAAAGTAAAAAAATAAATTCAGTAGTCTTTGACTTCTGTGTCTGGGATCTTAAAGACCCATATGCTTTCGGAAGGGGAAAAAATCACACTCTTCCTTTGGTGTTAAGATGTTCAGCTTCTGAAGGCTCTAGTGCAGTGCAGAACACCTTTCATGTGCAGCAGCTAAGATCACTTTCCACTTCTGGAATCCCTCTTTTTCTCAGGATGCTATGCTCCTCTGTGTGTGATCTCATCAGCTAATTAACAATACTGCTAACGCGTTGGTACCTTGGTTTTCTGAATGGTGATTACATTACACAGCTCCTAAGACTTGTGGTAGCAATGGCAAGACACAAGTTTGGAATCTATGGCAAACTGCGTAAACTGATGTAGTAAATCCTTGAGATTATGTTGAATTCTGTAAATTGAACATGGCCTCTGGACCTCCAGCTGTGTCAAAGAGGTTAAATTGTATGTTTAACTGTACGATGAAGATAATGAAATAATGTGTGAAGTAAATATACACACTGTGAGTAACTCTTTTGTCTACTCTGTTCCAGTGTGTACTTGAGCCTAAACCAGGATCCTACTGAACCACTCCCTTTAATTTTTGTGCCTGTTATTTGAGATTACTTCCTGTTCCTTGAATCTCTTACAGAAACGCAGCCAATTTTTAAGAGATATTTACCTAATGAGGTATGACCGTAGACATGAGTTCTGTCTGTCATTTTGTGCAGTCTCCTCAGATTAGATCTGTGACTTTTAAATCTAGTGTATTCATTGTCTTCATGTACAATGCACCTTAGTGGATAAAGTATGTTTAAGATGTTATGCATCCTAAGTACAAGAAACTGAATCTGCATTATAGTGATGATAGAAAAATGAGGCTGAAGAAGCTGTGATTCTCTTCTAGACCCAAGCACTCTTTATCTAGCACTAAGTAAATTTGACTGCAGTAAGGAATAAGATGAAGAAAGTAAGAGTGTTTGTGGGTGGCTGAAGGGAGACAAAGGTTATTATCTCATTTACCCCAGCTGTGAATGATGGATTTCAGTATCTCTAGCCTGTGATACGTTTGGCATTTTCTTCCTTAAAAGTACTCATTTGTAAAAGGCCACTTAACTGATGCCACATGGATTGCCATGGAGCCTCAGGTTATTCCTGAATCCAGCTGAGGTGGTGTGTTTAAATGCAGTGACTTCTTTTCCTTGTAGATGGCTGTGGAATTTCTACATGAACTGGATGTTCCGTTTTTCAAAGTAGGATCAGGAGATACAAACAATTTTCCATATTTGGAAAAGACTGCAAAGAAAGGTAAGCGTTTTCTTCTGAGCCATCTTAGTAAACATCACTGTGCCTCAGGAGTTCAGTTATTAGATCTTTCCTCCAATGGATTATGGATAAAAAATCTAAAGTACCTTTGGAAGAAGGTCACCCTTAGACTTGGAACAAAATAGGTTCACCCAGCTTTCTTCCCTAGTTTAACTGCAATAATTTACTTCAAGAATTTAATTTGTTCTTGTGTAGCTCTGTTACAAACCTAGGAGAGAACACGTGTATGTTTTGTAATGGCTAGGTCGTCCGATGGTGATTTCCAGCGGGATGCAGTCGATGAACACAATGCGTCAGGTCTACCAGATTGTGAAGCCCATCAATCCAAACTTCTGCTTCCTGCAGTGCACCAGTGCATACCCACTTCAGCCAGAGGATGTCAATCTCCGCGTTATCTCGGTCAGTGAATAACCTGCAGCATGCCACGGGCAGGGTACCAGAGAGGGACTGGGCATGTGTTTTGAGAGATATTTCCAGGTCTCAGGCATGCTGGAATTTGCTTCTGAGAAGTCAGATGTATCACGTTCCTCTCATTCATGTGTGTGTGGAAGTGAAAATACCTGTTGGATCTTGTTTTAGCAGAACTCGGCTTCGAGGGGTATGATAAAGGATATTACTGGAGTATTCACAATTAAACAGAGGAAGACAGGACCTATAGCTAAGAGGTTAACCGTGTGCTTTTTAGTGGAAAGAAGAATTAGGTAGGCTGTTACCATTAAGGTGGTGCACGCAGCAGAGCACATAATTCTAAATAGGGGGCTAGACCAGAAACTTCTGTCAAAAATACTTCATGTGAGTATCAGAGCAACGAAGAACAAGATTTAGGCCATTGTATAGTTTCCTTTGCTGAAAATTTTATTTGGGTATGCCTGATAATGACACAAGAAAATCTTCCCAAATGAGCCAGTATTCAAGCACTCATCTGGCTTTATGCACATGTGGTATGTTTTCAGTAGAATGAGACATGGCTGCATTTAATGGCCTTCAGGACTGGGTGACTGTCACCTATGTATGGCTGAAGGGATTGCTTTATACTTTAACTACAGGGTTGAAGAAATCTGCTTTGGATACAGGTTAAGTTTAAGCAGTCCACTGTGTCCTTGGATTAAAACAGAGCTTTACTCTATTGCTGTAACTTACAGTGGTGTAAGCTTTGAAGACCTTGAAGTGTACCACTGAATTAAAAGGAAAAGCGTAAGAGAAGTTGTAGAATAGAACATACCTCCTTTTCCTTGTCAGTAGTGATAATCCTAGTGAAATTCTTAGAACATGGCAGTTGGTAAAGCAGTGTCACTTTTTCAATGTAAAAAAAAAATAATTCTCAGCGTAACAAACTTCCTGCTTTGTGGCACAGTAGTTGTCCATGTTTTTTTACTGTAGCTATCGCTGTTAAATTTGCTGTGTCTTTGCAATTGCTACCTTGGTGATTCAGACCAACTCTTGTCCTCCTTCAAGGCATATCAGTCAGCTTTTCCTGATATCCCCATCGGCTATTCGGGGCACGAAACTGGCATAGCCATTTCAGTGGCAGCTGTTGCTATGGGTGCTAAAGTAGTGGAGCGCCATGTGACTCTGGACAAAACGTGGAAAGGAAGTGACCACCAAGCATCCCTGGAGCCAGATGAACTGGTGGAGTTAGTGAAAGCCATCCGTACGGTGGAAAAAGCTATGGGTTCTCCAGTCAAACAGCTCTTGCCCTGTGAAATGGCTTGCAATGAAAAGGTAACCTGCTTTTGAGTCATGTATAGCTGAAACTCATTTAGATCTATAGCTAATAACCGTATTCAGAAAAATGGCTTGCTGATTGTTCAGTGCAGCAGTGTTTCTGCCTCTGCACAGAAAGGTTTCTGCTGCTAAGTAGCAGCATGCACAGTGCTTATGCTTAGCCTGCTGTCATGTTAGTGCAGACCTGTAATTTTCTATGAACTGCTATTTCTGGCAGCTAATAACTATTTTTACCAAAGCATAATGTCAGCAATTTTGAGTGTAACGGAATTCTATGTACATCATCCAGTGGTTAGCTAAATTGAGTAGAATCATGGAATCATTTAGGTTGGAAAATACCCCTAAGATCATTGAGTCCAACCATTAACCAACACTGCCAGGGTCACCACTCGACCACGTCACTATGTGTCTCACTGACACATCCTTGAAATACCTCCAGGGATGGTGACACTTCCCTGGGCAGCCTTCTCCACTGCTTAACAAACCTTTCAGTGAGGAACTTTTTCCTAGTACCCAACCTAAGCCTCCCCTAGCACAACTTCAGACCATTTCCTCTCGTCCTATCAGTTGTTATTTGTGAGAAGAGACGGGCACCCACCTTACTACAACGTCCTTTGAGGTAGCTTTAGCGAGAGGTAAGGTCTCCCCTCAGCCTCCTCGTCTCCAGACTAAACAGCTCCAGTTCCCTCAGCTGGCCCTCACAGGACTTGTTCTCTAGATCCCTCAGCAGCTTTGTTGCCCCTCTTTTGACATGCTCCAGCACTTCAGTGTCTTTCTTGTAGTGAGGGCCCAAACTGAAGACAATTCACAGTGCAGCCTCACCAGTGCCAAGTACAAAGTAGTCAGTAACAGTAATAGGAATAGGAGGGCTCTGTGACTGTATATGAGCTGCCTTCACAAAAAGCTAGAGTGCTAGTCAGTCTGATCAGAATCCCCCTGTTGCAGTTCTGAAAACCTCCACTGAGCCATGATCTCCTTTCACAAATTACGTGCATGTTCCCAGCAGCCTGGTTAGAGTGAAGTTTTGTTCACCTGATGTAATGGGGAGGGCAGTTCAGCACATGTTCCCAAGTAACTGCAGAATATCCTTTGCCTTTTTTTGTATACTAAGCCTAGGAATGTGTTTGACATAAACTTTTTAAAAATGTTATTTTTACTTCTCCCCTGTAGCTGGGAAAGTCTGTTGTGGCAAAAGTGACGATTCCTGAAGGGACAGTACTGACACTTGACATGCTGACAGTGAAGGTGGGAGAGCCTAAGGGATTTCCCCCAGAAGCCGTCTTTGAGCTGGTGGGCCAGAAGGTTAAAAGAACTATTGAAGAAGATGAAACCATCACTGAGCAAGCAGTGGAAAATTACGTAAAAAAAGGGAAGTGCTAAACCAAAGCATTCAGTTCCATAGATCATGATACAGCACTACTCACAACATAAATTTAAGTATAGCAGCACGGTAGATTGTAAGAAAGACAAGTAATTATGAGGATCCAAACGGGGCAGAATTTTAAGGTTCTCATTAGCAGAAAGTTTCTGAAGCAAGTGGTATAAATTATGAAGAGCAGTTTTATTAGAAATTGTATAGCGTTGTGTCTAGAATATACCATGCTCTCCCACTCTCCATTCCTCTAAACTACAGTAACTTGGGGTTTTGCCAAATCTTAAGACCACAGTCTGTTGTTTTCCAGCTTTCATTTCGGGTAACACAGTAAATCACAATGATACTGTCTGCACTTTGATGCAGGTTCTAACCTCCTATCTTTTGCTGTTTCTGCCCTTTCTGCCATTTTCCTCACGCATGTGCTAACAATGCTAGCTGGAGTTGAGTGCAGTTCTGTGACAGTGTACACACACTGAACAGAAAGCTACACCTGTAACCTGATGAATTTTTCTCATGATGAAAGACAAAATGTCTGAATTTAAAGCAGTGAGTTGCAGGAATCTTCACTCTGGAAAATGAGAAAACAAGGTTCTCAAGAGAGAGCACTTAGAGAGCAAACTGACTCTGTAGAAAGGTCCCATTAAAGGCGCAAGAGAGAGAAACTTTGTGAGCTGAAAAGCAGGAGGGCAAGCCAGACAGATTAAGGAGGAGACAGCAGATCTGAAGTGCATCAGTGGAAATACACTTAGCCTGTGCTTAAAAAAAATTGGCAAAAGCATCTATTGTGAGCTGAGTGAAGCCTGGAATTGTAAATCAGTTCTGCAGTGCATTTGGCTTTGTACCTGAGGGCAGCTTCTCAGGTAGGAATCCAAATGCTGGTGAAGATTGAGCAGCCTCCTTCCCACGCTAACAACCAAATACACTGGGTTGGCTTTTTTCCCCCCCGACACCAGTGTGGCTGCTTGACTGGATCCCATCACTGTGCTGCAGCACAACGGTTGGCACTCCTCTCGTGTGCTCTGCTCCTGTATCGCAGCTTCTCACTCTCCATTGAGAAATGCAGCCCCACTCCTACCAGCCTGCTGCTCCTCCCTTTGTCCAGGAAGGAGCCAGATGGCAGCAGCAGCAGCAAATTAGGCATCCCTCAACTAGCTTGCTTAACACAGAACTGCCGTGATAGAATTCACCTCCATTTTTCTGTGGTGGAATCATTCGCTAGTGATGGTTATTTGGAACTTGCTTCCTCTTGGCCATGAGTTGAAGTATCTGGAATTTGGTGGTGGTGTTTCTGTACCTGTGACCCGTTTACTTTCAAAGTGTTTACTTCTCTGCAATTCTGAGGAAACTGTATTCATATCTTTAAACTGGAAAACAGATTCTTTGAATCGTGTGCTTGACCATATGTGAGCTCTGACTGATGTGGTATGCTTGCCTTACATTAAAAACCTGCTACATTTTTAAAACTTTCTCTTTTTTTAATTTCAAATTTGAAAAATAAATTTTCTTTATAAAACAAGCTCTTGTCTCTGCTTTTCAGCCTGTGGTCAGACCTTGCTTTTGCCAGCACCACTGAAAATTCCAGAGCCTTTAGTATTTGAACACTGTGGAAACACCTGACCTGCTTCAAGTAGCAGTGGTTCTTCACCTCAGTAAGAATGATCTTTAGAGGCTGCTATAAACATAGGCTCTGAAAACTTCCAGGACTTTAATAAATGTATGGGGGGAAAAAAAATCCCTAAAACACTGACCTAGTGTCTCTGTTGGACCTGCGGGTCCTCCAGGCCTTTCGTCTTCTGTCAGGGGTGGTACACGGCTGCTTCTTGTGCTTCCACTCTGTGCAGAGAGAACAGGGCCACTGAAGCCCAGTTCTGAGTTTCTGTCTCAAGTAAGACCCACTAATGTCTATTTTGTGTGGCTACAGAAGCTCCTACTTCAGCTTTATTTGAAAGGACCTTTCCAACAGTCAGTGTCAGTCTTTGATTTTTCTGAAATCATTCTTAACTATGAGCTGATGCACTTTGTACATTTATTATCCAAATCTGACTTTTTCTACTCTAATATCCAATATATGAACTTGAAGCTTGAAATGAACTAAGCCTATTACCATAGGCAATATGTAGGTAAAAATCACCTATGGTAAAACTATCTATTACCATAGGTGGATCCTATACATACAGTTAGAGGGGAGGGAGTTCATAAAAAAGATGACAATACACAAGTTCAAATCCAAGCTGTAATATGTTTATTTCAATAAGACTTTCCATTTTGCAAGCTGAAAAAAGTACAAAAAATAAATTGCATGTTGCACTTTAGGTGGTATATCAAAATAATTTTAAAAAGCAAGATCCCCTTCTCCCACTGAAAAAGGCATACACATTAGTAATTACAGTTGGTTTTCTTCAATTTAACTGTTACCTTATAAAAGCATCAGTTACAACTTCCCCATGACAGAGATTAACTCCTGTAGATCAGTGCTGAAGCAGCTTTCAGAGACAAGGCGTGAAGCGGGAGGCTTTCCTTTGCGTCGTGCGTTACGTCAGTTTGCGTACTGCGATGGAGCCTTCCCAGAGCCTGACGGCCGGGTACACTGGTTCTGTGAACTTGCAGCGGAAGGTATGCAGATGAGCCATGCCATTGGACACGTCGTAGAATGAGAGGATTCCTGCTTCATAATCCAGAAAAACGCCGACGCAGTCGGGATCATTCTCGGTCGGGATGGGGATTCTCTCCCCATTGTGAAAGGCCCAGTACTCGAAGTCAAACCGCTTGAGGCACCAAGATGATCTGTTCCAGCCCAGTCGGCAGGTTTCAGAGTCTCCTTTCCTGCCAATGGAAGGGTAGGCTGCGCCAACCCACCATCCTGCTCCAGCATGAAGCAGGTCAACTTCCCAGTAGTGGCTCCCAGAGAGGAATGCATCTCTGCTTAGTACTTGCCATAGTTTGTCGAATCTTTGGGGACCACAGGGGTAGAATATTCTCCTCCAGTTACAGCTTACTGTGAGACGGTCATCGGACAACTTCAGCTTTGGGTGAAGGCTGTTATACTCCCAGGTTGGTGATCTTGCATCTGCAGCCAAAAGCATAAACACTTCATTTATCGTGACTCATGAAAGAAGTTGCACAAAAACTGCAAAGGAGCCCACACCAGGCAGTGTCTCGGAACCTGTAGTGTTGCAAGGAAGAACTTGACATTTTTAAGAGAAATCACTGCACTATTTATATGCACCAATGTTTTGAAGCTGCACAAGCTCCAAGGCAGGTCAGTAAAAGACAAATATGTAAGTCAGTATGTGTGGTTCACAAATGAGAGGATGAATGTGGCTAGGTAGGGAACAAATGCTGAGGGCTGCTTTATGCAGAACAGCTCGAGGCTTCTGGTGAGATTACAGCCTAAAGGTTTTAAAGCTACAAAAAGCTAGAGGATTTTCAAGTTTAGATTTTTCTCTGACGATAGTCCTACAGCTTCAATGTTGAATTGCTGCATGTCTTGCAGAAATTTTCAGTACATACTCCACCTCAATACATAGGTTTTCTGATCTCGTGTCCTAGAAATAACCAGGATACTCCCTTTGAAAACAGGATCTGTCATTCTTAAACAATCCCCTTCACTCTTTCTGTCAAGCCTGATAAAACCTGTGTCAACAGTTGGGTACCTAAATGAACATACATTATAATGAATTACTGTACTTTCTAGAATACTACTGACAAGATGTCAACTTAACTTGATTCTTAAAACTATTCCAAATAATGAGCACATCTGTTTTTTCTTCTAAGTGAAGAAAACAAAGTACAATATATCCAGATGAGAACTGAACAGTAGTATATGTGCAATGAAAACTGTCTGAGTCATAATTCACTGGGGTTTTTTTAACTGAATATAATTTTAATCTTAGTCTAGATAAACTTTGACTCTTAGATGTTTTAAATGCCAGATGACAAATCCATTTAATATTCTGAAGCTGCATTTCCAAGTAAATTCCTTTTAAGTAAAAGTTAGGGAAACAAGTGTTTGTAATATTTTAAAATCCAGACTACTTTCATTTCTCCTATGTTCTTACATAGAACCCTCTCCCATAAACTAAATCTGTCTAACCTGGGCTAACTGGCATATTCCATAGTCTAAAGCCAAGAAGCTGTTTCCATTCAGGCTGGAATCTTCCCTTCTGCCATCAGAGCAATACATTGATCTCTCCACACCTTTCACTGCTGATCCTCTGTTACTCTCCCACGATTTCCTGCTCCCACACTGCAGCAGCTGCACCAGCACTGCAGCCTACAACAACCCCCACAAGTGATGGTCCATTCACTGCACAGTGAATTACGACAAGAGTTATGCTCTATACTTGTCTGTGATGTTTCAGAAAAGAAAGTACACGTGCATTACAACTATAAGACAGAGCTGGATCCCACACATCCTCCTGCCTTACCGTGACTCCTCATTTCAGCAACGTTTTAAAATACAGGAACCAGTGATGCACTGTTACAGGTGGTTCTGTACACAGAGCCTAACTGACAGATCACCTTCTCCTGAGCAGGATCACTGCACATGTCTGAGCACCACAAGTGAAGCAGTTGCTTTATCTGAAGCACAGACATGGAGAGAGTTGCTCATGAGTGGCATGCATGACATGGTGCTAGAAAGCCCACTGCTGATATTTGGACCCTGCAATCTGCACCTGCCTACTACAATACAAGCAAAGAGCACTATACATGCAGCTGAGTGTTAACTGAAGCACCACCCTTTTCTAAACATAAAGAAAGCCTTTATTATTTTAATTTGGGTATTATGTCTGTAAACAATGTTAAAACTTCAAAACACTACAGGGGTACCTCTCACACGTGCAATGTCTTAATGTGACCTCCACTATACTTTCGTCAGAAAAGCTAGTATTGGTGCTCATGTGGTCTGAATAGGTCCTAAGTCACATCTGTGCTTATAGTTGGTGACAAAAGACAGGAAACAGGAGTTATTCATGCAGTTAAAAAGAGCACAAGACAAGATTCTACCTTCTGAATCACTGTCCTGAGTCTTTGTTTCAAGTCACTTCCAGCAGCTAAACAGTGAGGATGATAGGTTTGTAGAGAGCACAGGTGATGCCAAGACCAAAAGACATTTCAGGTAGGGAGCATTTATAAGGCTTGGCTTCAGGGTCTTCTTTTTCCAGTAGGCGCTTGAAAAGCTGTGCAAATAGGTAACGACGTCTGTCAAGTCAAATTCACCTGAAAATCTAGATTTTCGTGGAATGTATAACTACTAAATCTCAGGCAAATGGAAATGCCTCTATTGGTTAAAAAAAAAGGAGGAAACCCCAAGGACCAAACTGCACCCAGGTGCTAAAGTTTAGAAGCATAAATGTGAACATCACTGGAAAATAATGCAAAATAGCTAGAGCTGTTTGGATTCCACTTTTATTAAGTGATGAATATTGGTAGTGACTTTAGTTATGTATGACCAAGGTTTGCCAGTTTCACTGGCCTACATGCAGCTGCACATCTGCTTAGTTAGCTTTAACAGAGTAGAGAAATTATCTTTTCAGCCCTTAAAGTGAGTGCTCGCACGTGCAGCCCATATAGTGCTTTCTCCATAAACCCATCAAGGGGCAGCCTGAAGCAGATATATATTGGCACTCATGAAACTCAGGAGCCTAGTTCACTGCCCACCAGATGCTGCTGCAGTTCTCTCTCAGCAGCAAGGGCTCAGTAATGCAGACTGGCTGTCCTGGGACCTCAACAGGTTTTGGTTACGTGTCTGGGTGCTGCAGCAAGAACCTGCACAAGTGGGAAAAGACCCATGACATAACAGCCAAGGAGACAGGTTTTGCTCATTGCAGTCCTGATTTCTGAAAACCTGCTGCATTTACAAGTGGAACACCTGTCTGCTTTGAGATTAAAAACAGGTACAGCCCTTATCTACTGCAGGCCACAGAAAATGTCAGAATCCTAGAACCATTAATGTTGGAAAAGACCTCCATGATCAAAAAGTCCATCACTCAACACTACCATGACCATTACACCCTGTCCCCAAGTGCCACATCTGTAAGTTTTTTGAACACCTCCAGGGATGGCGAGTCCACCACCTCCCTGGGCAGCCTGTTCCAATGCCTCACCACTCTTTCAGGAAACAAATTCTTCCTCATATCCAATTTAACCCTCCTCTGCTGCAATTTGAGCCCACTTCCTCTTGTCCAATCACAAGTAACCTGGGAGAAGAGACCAACACCCACCTCCTTTCAGGCAGCTGTAGAGAGCAATAAGGTTTCCCCTCAGCCTCCTCTTCTCCAGACTAAATAATCCCAGTTCCCTCATTAGCCTCTCACCAGAGAGACAAAACAGTTCACTGCACATCTTTCCTACCCACAGCACAGGAAAGGATCACTTGTAGATTGATGCTTAACACATTAAATGATGTATCTATAATTAAAGACAGATCACAAAGATATGGACAAGAAAGAAGTCTTCAAAAACTAAACTAGCCACTAGCTGATTCTGAACATAAAAAAGGAAGATGTCACAAACAGAAAGTAAAATCTATTTCCCAACCTGAGGTATGGAAAAGAGTGATGAATTTCAGGCAGTGCTGAGCACCTGGTCCTTGCAAACACTGTAAACATCAGAACCCTTTTAAGATACCATTTTAAGACAGCGAGAGCACACACTGACTGTTTCAGTGACTGAGCTGTAAGTGTTCAGAGTGCATCCAACTTTTGTTCAATCATACTTACGTTTTAAGAAAAGAAACCGATCAGCAGCAGATGTGATTTTGAACACTGCTCCAGGCTCCTTCTCTGAAGTGGCACTAAGGCTACTGAAGATATCTGGGCAGAGATGAAAAGGGACAGTTCAGGGAGTCGGCCAATGGAAGAGTGTGGCTGTACTGTCAAGATTTTAAAAATAAAATGCCATGGGCAGTTTTGCTGGACAAGGTATTTGGGTTTTGCCTCTTTGGTGTGAACTCCACCCATGTCCTGGGGAAGATTACACTGTCACACTCTATTTTCCAACTCTATGGGACAAACTACGTTAATTCTGCTGGGGAAGGGCTACTTGCTCTGCTTTTCATCTTATGCTCTATGGATAGCATGGAGATGCCAGATCCCAGTATTGCCAAGGAACTACCCAGTCAAGCACCTCCCATTCCTCAAAAAGCACCCTTCTGTCAGAGACCACATTCAGGCATCTGAGGACAGCTGCAGATGCTAGCTACTGAGCACCTGCATGGTACTGTCTAGCAA